AGACAACTGGCTTCCTTGATCAGCGCTTTCAGGATGCCGACGAGAAGTTAATGGAGATCATATATGGAACCAAGAAGGTGAGCCTGTTACTATGCACCCCCAAACCCGGGTTGAGTACCTACTGTGCGCCAGGCCTTACGTTGGGGGTTGGCATGACCACGGTACCCTCCAGGGGCATGGAACTCATGAGGGAGGTGGACAGAGGCAGAGAATAAAGAGGGCCACTGAAGAGGCCTGCCCAGGTGTCCCTGAGCACGCAGGAGGCCTTACCCCCAGGGAAGCCTGGGTGGGGATGGGGGAGAGGGAAGATGTCCAGGTAGACACCTGGGTGGGAAAGTGTAAAAGAACTTGGGCGACTAAACTTAGAGAAGGTTAGAGTGCCTTTGCCTTCCTTCCTCACTTCTGGCCTGAAAGAAATATTTATTTTTAATGAAGGTATTACTTACATGCAGTGAAATGTATGAAATACACCGTTCAGTGAGTTTTGACAAATGAAATCACCCATGTAACCACCGCCCCATTTACCCAGCAGTTCTCTGTGCCCCTTCACAGTAGCCCCCACCCCGTACCCCAGGTGGGTGTAGAAGGGTGAAGCGGAATCATACACGCGGTGCCCTGTGTGTCGGGCTTCTGCTCAGCGTGTCTGTGAAGTGCCTCTGTGCTGTGTGTGTCAGGAGTTGGTCCTTGTTGCCAGGTCGTGTGCTGTTGTATAAAAACACCACGTTTTGTTTTCCCTCCGCCTGCGGGTGGGAGTTTGGGTGGTTTTCAGTTGAGGGCTGTTATGAAGCAGGCTGCCCTGACATGGGTGGGTTTTGCCACCTGTTGTCCAGGGTTGGGAGGACTTGGCTTCCTCTGCAGCTGACGGATTTATGGGAGCGGGGCCCCCACTTAGGTCATACAGACTGTCCCCAGAGGGCTGCTGGGCAGGGGGGCGGGAGGGGCCAAAACTAGCCGCGGTGCTTTCTTCCCGAGCCATGCTCTCCCCAAGCCGCGCTCCATGAGAGGCGTCCTGCAGGCCACTGGGCCTGAGGGTGAGGCCAGGACGAGGGGACGCTTCAGAGCCTGGCAGTGTCGCCGTGACAGTTCTTTCTCTGGGGGCTCTAAATGGGGCTGGATCCTGGCCTCCAGGGAAGGTCCTCCTGCTACTCAGGGTTGACAAGGTAACTTCCCAAGGTTCTTTGTCACCAGGATTCCTGTCCTCCCCCAGGAGGTAGGGCAGGGGGGAGCGTGGGGTGTGGGGTCAGGCGTGGCCGAGTTCTGGTCACTGGGACCCTCGACCAGAGACTCCTCTGTGCTGAGTCTGTTTCCTCACCTGGCCAGGGCCCGCCCCTGCCGCCCAGGTCATTCCGATGGCCACACGGAATACCACCTGCGAGGTGCTGTGCACGGAGCCCGCATTCAGGAAAGAGTAGATGGCTGTGATGAGGGCTCTTCTGTGGCCTCTTAGTTTAGTGTCTAAAAGAACTCCTACGAGATCTGAAAATGTCTCCCTGGAGTTCTGGAAGGAAGCAGGGGCCCCAGCTGGTGCTGCCTCCCAGACGATCGGGGGTTGGGAGGGAGGCCGGGCCCCAGTAACCCCTCCCTCTGTTTCCAGACCTGCCTTCCTCGCTGGAAGCTGTGCGTGAGTGACACAGAGAACAACTTGGGCTTCGCCCTGGGCCCCATGTTTGTGAAAGAGACCTTCGCCGAGGACAGCAAGAACATAGTAAGTGCCTCCCCTCGGGCGCAGGCTGTGGCTTCACGCCAGCGATGGCCGCTCATGAGCTTGGCAGCCACACTCTGGTCTGGTCTGGACCTTCCTCCCCAGGGCTCCAGCCTTAACTCCGAGGCCTCCTTGCCTAAAGCCCTGAATCATGAGAGTCCTTCATGAGCGTTACTGCTCTTGAGTGCAGGCCGCTTAGCTGTGTTACCTCGTTTAACCCTCACCCGGTCCCGCCCTCTCCACTCCCAAGGGTCTGAAGGACCAGTGACCTGAGGCTGGGGGAGCAGCTCTAGGCCGAGGGTTGACGTTTTCCTTACTCCGAGGGTGACAGGTGTGTTCTGGGCGGGCAGAGGAGCATCGTGGCTAAGCACGTGAAGGCACCAAATCCGACCCTGGATTTACCAGTTCCTGGGCGGGGGGCTTGGGACCATGTTCTCACCTCCCCTGTAACGTGTGCATCCCACAGGGGGCAATTAATGAGATGCCACATGTAAGAGCAGCTGGCACAAAGTAAGGGTTCCATAAAAGGTAGCTGCTATATCGTTTCTATTACTAATATTAAATACATGGATGTTACCTGCAGTCAAAGGTTAGCCAGCGGAAACTCAACCCTATGAAGTGGCCTGTCTGGTGCAGAACCTGAGTCCAGTTCTACCAGCCATCAGCCCCTCTGCTCTTCCTGCTGCAAACTCCGCCTTCCCCTGGTCCGGACCCTTCCGCTGCCTGGTCTGCCTGTGACACTGCCCTTGAGAATGCCCGTTCCTCTCCAGCCTGGGCAGAACATTCCTAAAACTCCCCCCCCCTTAGCCCAGCACTGGAGAGCCTGAGGCTTTGAGCCAGGACCAGATTTTCGGCTTTGCCTGCCGTCATCCCCCCTCGTGGGGGACCCATCCACGGCCCGCCCTTCAGGTCCAGCTCTGTCTCCGCAGGCCAGCGAGATCATCTTGGAGATCAAGAAGGCGTTCGAGGAGAGCCTGAGCAGCCTCAAGTGGATGGATGAAGACACGCGGAAATCAGCCAAGGAGAAGGCGAGGCTGCCAGCAGCTTGACGGGGGTGGGGGAAGGAGAGACCGCATCCAGACGCTGCCCCGCCCGCGGGTGGACAGTCCGGCGGGATGGAGGGAGAGCCTGAGCACGCGATGGCGTTCACGACCGCGTGGAAATGACATGCTGAGTGTGCGAGGGAGCCGTGAGGGAAATGCCGTGTGTCTAATGGAGAGTGAAGGGCCTGAGGTGGTTGGTGGGTGAGGACCAGGGAAAGCTTTCCTTAAGAAGTGACATTTAAGCGATACCTAAGAGATCAGTAGAATTTAGACAGGGGAGGAGTCTTTCCAGAAAGAGACGAGGAAGCCCTGGGGTGGGAGGCGCCTGGCCCTGTGTCCCCTTGGCCCAGACCCTGAGCCCGGCCCCCACGGAGCGTAGCTGGGCACTCACTATCTATTCTCTGTGTCTTCCCCGTCCAGGCGGACGCCATCTACAACATGATAGGCTACCCCAACTTCATCATGGACCCCAAGGAGCTCGACAAAGTGTTCAACGATGTGAGTGGTTCCTGCCTGCCCCCTTGCATTCCCAGCTGCCCCCGGGGCCCCCATTTGGGGAAGGGGAGAGGCAGGCTGGGTCCGGATGGGGCGCTGGAGGCACCGGGACTGTGAAGACATCTTGAGATGGTGAGCTGTGGGCTTTGGGGATGCACCAGGCACGAGGAAGCTGCTCCTTGGTCTCTTGGGGCAGCCCGAGGCCCCCTTCCCTGGAGCCACCAGCAGCCAGTGCCCCGCAGTCAATGCCAGAACAGTGCCACGTGCACCGCTGACAGTGGGAGGAAACACCCTAGAACCGTGGTCAGCAAACCGCGGCTCTTTGGCCCTTTGAGTGCGGCTCTTTCACAAAATACCACGTGCAGGCGCGCACATACAGTGCGATTGAAACAGTGGCCCATGCACAGAAGTCGGTATTTTGTGGAAGGGGCCAAAGAGCCGCATGTGGCTCACGAGCTGCGGTTTACCGAGCCGCGGTTTGCCAACCACCACCCTAGAAGGTGCAGAGAGCATTGGCACACGCCCTAAAACATCAGAGGAGTACAGCGTGAACCCCTCGTACTGCCTCCTCCTTCCCTACTCCAGTTACCTCCTGTCCCGGGATCCTGCCCACCTTCCCAGAGAAACCTGACCCCTGGTTTGGCCCTTGAAATGCTAACAGGAAAAAGGAAGCATACATCCCGAAGGCATGCTGAAGCTTCATTTAGGCAACAGAGGTAGCTGGCCTGTCCCTGGTAGTTAGAACTTTTACAAATCGCTCCTTTCAACGCATTGTGCTTCTGCCCTGAAAGGTCAATTTTTTTAAAAATATATTTTATTGATTTTTTGTACAGAGAGGAAGGGAGAGGGATAGAGAATCAGAAACATTGTTGTGATTGAAATTCGTAAACTCAGGCACTTTTGCAATTATAATAACGACTCATCACGGTCATATTTAACCCCAAGGGTGTTGAGCTCGTCTCTGAGAATGCGAGGTGCCTTTTGCAGCCTTTTTCCCTGAGAGTAACTTAAGGTGCTCCAGCGTGTCCGGACAGGAGACGGGGGCTCTGGACAGGAGGACGGGGGCCTGCGCAGGGCCCAGCGTTTCCCTAGATCCTCGTTGTAAAGCTAGAAAGCCGGAGGGATCTGAGGGAGAGCCCCAGCCTGGAAGGAGCAGGAAGGCCGGGCCGAGGGGGAGAAAGGTGCCCAGCAATGCCTGTCACTGCGGCTTCCGAGCTGGATCTAGCCTGATTGATCAGATTTCTGCTGTCCGGTTTGGTGGCCACCAGCCATAGATGGCTAATTCATCAAAGCCTCATTACTTAAAAGTAAATTAAATTTAGAAGGGAAAAAAGTTTAGATTAACTTTAAAAGCCACCCTAGCCACATCTGAAACGCTCGGCGGCCTCATGTGGCCGGTGTCTAACAGGAAAAGCACGGACACAGACGTGCCCGTCAGCGCAGCCTGCTCTGCCGGACAGCGCCCTGCTGCAGGGCCTGCGACGCCGCGGGGTGTCTGCTGGTGTCAGGGGCCCTGGGCAAGCTCTCTGTGTCCTGGTGGGGAGAGGGAGCCAGGCCCCAGCAGGGGGAGGGCCGAGGGAGGCCTGTTCTGGCCTCGGTCCTGCAGACCAACCCCTTAACCTCGCGGGCTCTGTTCCCTCGGTTTCAGAAGAGGTCTGGGCTCCAGGGTCCGAGCGCCTCGGCCTGGCCTCTCTGATCCTGTGGCTTTGCTTTCGTCCAGTACACAGCAGTCCCGGACCTCTACTTCGAGAACGCCATGCGCTTTTCCAACTTCTCCTGGAGGGTCACTGCCGACCAGCTCAGGAAAGCTCCCAACAGAGACCAGTGAGTCCGGGCCTCGGGGGAGGTGCTGGCTCCCGGCTCCCGGCCCCTGGGGTGCTCGGGGCTGAGCTCACCTTGTGGACCAGGTGCCGATATAACTGTCCTAAGGGCCCTCATCCACTTTCCGGATGAGGAGCCCAAGGATGAAGGAGTGTTCCGAGGCAGGAGCTGGGCTCAGCCGGTCTGTGTGCCCCCGGCGCCAGGCTGTTGGCCGAGTAGCCCGGCCTTGAGTGGAGCAGCCCTGGCATCACATCCCAGCACCACTTCTGCACTCGGAGCTGGTGTGACCACCGAGTGTGAGGACCTCTGGGGGGTCGCATGAGGAGGCCCTCCGCTAAGGCTAGCTAGTTTCCTCCAATTCCCCACCAGCAGGAGCGGTGGATCCCAGGGCAGTTCCCCAGAGGCTGGGGAAGGTTCCAGATAGGCCCCCCACAGCTGTGGGTCCCAAACCTTACTGCACATCAGGAGTCTCTGGGGAGTTTTTTTTTAAAGACAGCTTTCTGCCCTGGCCGGTTAGAGCATTGGCCCCTGGACCAAAGGATTGCAGGTTCGATTCCCGGTCAAGGACACATACCTCAGTTGCAGGTTCAATCCCTGGCCCTGGTTAGGGTGCATGCGGGAGTGAACCAATTAATGTGTCTCTCATATTGACACCTGCTTCTTCTCTCTCTTCTATTTCTCTCTTAAAACATTAAAAAGTAAAAGGATAAAATAAAAGACAGCTTTCTGGCCTGTCCCCCAGACATTCTTAAACCACCGTCACCTGGAGTGAGACCCGGTATCTGTTGTTGTTTTAATAGTCTCCTCAGAAAACTCAGATGCAGTCAGCGCAGTACTAGTTCGCAGACTAATCTCCCGCGGTGCCTACCACATTCTGCAGAGTAAACTTACCAGGAGGCCAAAGCAGCCTCGCTGTGCCTCTGGTGCCCCCTCGTGGACAGCAGGGCTTTGGGCATCTGTCTCTTCTAAGTTTCCCTTCTACAACCAGGGCACCTCTAAAATGCACAAGAAGGCAGTCTTTTCTCTCCAGAATACGGCACAGGCACTGCCACAAGGTCCTGAATTTATCTGGTCTGTTATAATTAGGCTACAATTTTTCACTGAAGTGTCATTTCCTACCCCACTTATGTATTCATGTTTATTTGAATACAAATATGATGTTTTCAGGTTCTCCGTCTCCTTTCATGGGGTGCCCCTGAACACACCTCCGTGGGGCTCACCTGGAGAGAAAGAGTGACCGACCGCCTAGGCCCTTAGAGAGAATGTCCTTCCTGTCTCGCTCTGCTCCTCATGGTCCCCTCCCTTCCACACCAGAAACATCATCCAGGGGCCGAATGTTTCAGTACCAGATACCGTCAAGGGTCCCTTCTACACTCTTACAAAACCATTGGACCCAGAGAGCTTTTTTATAAAAGTTACATCAATTTTTATGCACATTTTATGGGGGGGAAATCTTTTATAAGTAAGGAGGAAAAAAGAGGTATTGTTTTACTTTTTCAGATTTCTTAATGTCTCTGGCTTAATCATAGACATCTGGATTGTCATATCTGTTTCTTTATTACATACAATCTAACTCTATATTATGTTCAGCCTATTGCAGTGCATTGTTTTTTGAACTATATAAAGCAAATCTAGTCTCACACAGATACGTAGTTGGAAAGGGGGTATTTTAATAGTCTTTCCCCATACGAGGGCAGTCTTTATTGATGTTAAACCAGGATTCATGAAGTGCTAATTTCTTAAAGGCTAATTGCCCTGTGGAATCAGAAACTATCTCCATGAACTTTCCAGACTTCATTATGCTAAAAGCCATCCGTCTGTCTGGCACTTTGATCCATCTTTTACCCACCCGTGATTCTTAACATCACACATGGGTCGTTTGGAAAACTCACTCGCAGGGTTTCATATATCTTCCAAATGGTGACATTTTGATGACACAATATCCAAAAAAACCACATCTGATAGTAACACCACCGAGCTGCCGAGAAAAGCCCTGAAGGGTCCGGAAGCTGACTGAGACAAGCTTTCTAGGATTTTAATTTTTGCTTGAAACGTCTAGTTATATTTTAACCTTGAATGTTTATTGTTGGCGTCAAATGGTGTCCATTATTTTCCTCGAGGTGACAAGCTCATTTTATTCAGTTTCAAGAAAACGTCTGCCACGTACCCACGTCTGAAATGTCAGTTTGTCAGTTGTCCTCTCGGGTACAGATGTGGTCACATAGCATTGAAGGTCTGGTACTCAAGGGTCTGGCTTTAATTAAATTAATGATGTGGCTACATCACTAAAGATGTTCTCTTTTTTTTCTTTTTTTATTGATTTTTTACAGAGAGGAAGGGAGAGGGATAGAGAGTCAGAAACATCTGTGAGAGAGAAAAATCAATCAGCTGCCTCCCGCACACCTCCCACCGGGGATGTGCCCACAACCAAGGTACATGCCCTTGACCGGAACCGAACCTGGGACCCTTCAGTCCACAGGCCGATGCTCTATCCACTGAGCCAAACTATCTAGGGAAGATGTTCTTTTTTAAAAATATATTTTTTGTTAACTTTAGAGAGGAAGGGAGAGGGAAAGGGAGATAGAAACTTCAATGATGAGAGACTCACTGATCGGCTACCTCCTGCACATCCCACACTGGGGTTCAAGCCTGCAACCCAGGCATGCGCCCTGACCAGGAATGGAACTGTGACCTTCTGGTTCATAGGTAATGCTCAACCACTGAGCCACACTGGCCAGGCTCATGTTCTTTGTAAGAGCCTCGGTGTTGCATTGTGTGGTGTGATGTTAGATTTAGCCAATCCCTTATTTATAGACATTTAGGTGTTTTCTGGTTTCCTTCTCAAAACCAGTGTTGCTATGGATGCCCCTGTACTTGTGCGTGCTTGGGCCTGGGGTCAAGGGAATCCACATTTTCACGGCTCTTGATATCCTCCAGGTGGGTGGCCCCCTCCCCTGCCCCCGTGCCCTCCCCCAGGCTGTCCTGACTTTCCATGTGCATGTTGCTTGCAGGTGGAGCATGACCCCTCCCATGGTGAATGCTTACTACTCGCCCACCAAGAACGAGATTGTGTTTCCGGCCGGAATCCTGCAGGCCCCGTTCTACACCCGCTCTTCACCCATGTACGGACGGTGCTCCAGCCCAGCCCCGTGGCCCACAGCTGACCACACAGTCAAACCGGTCTCACTGAGCGCCCTTTGCCCCACTCACCAGGGAGCTTGGGACATTCAGAGAAGTTTCAGAGAGAACATACCCACTCCCTGGGCCTCCCTCCAGGGTCTCCTGGTTCTGGAAGCCCCTGCACAGCGGGAACTCGGGGGGACGTGCCTCTAACGGTGTTTTAGGGCCGTCACAGCCGGGGCTGGGCAGCTGAGGGTGCTATCTCAGAAAGGTCCCTCGGGCTTCGCTTTGCCGACCAGGTGGCCCTTGGGCAAATGCTCCCACCATTCCAGGCCTTGGTTAGCTCATCTCTAGAGTCGGTTACTCACGCCTAACTCTTTGGCGATGACCGAAGAGGACAGTGCAATTCTGTGGAGCATCTAGCCCAGTGCTTGGCGCCCAGTGCTTGGCGCCCAGTGGGCACAGGCTGGCCACACCCGACGCACCCAGCTTCTGACTGGCGTCAGGCTCAGGCTGGGGCCATGTCCCCGCAGAGCACTGTGGGCCTCTGCTGTGTCTCCAGGCCTGGGAAGCAGGGACCCCCCGCCCCCCCGGCATTACTCTCACCTTCGTGTCCTCCCCTCCAGGGCCTTAAATTTTGGCGGCATCGGTGTCGTCGTGGGCCACGAGCTGACTCATGCTTTTGATGATCAAGGTATGAGTTGCTTGGGGTTCCCGTCAGCTTCCTGGCCCTACTGGTTCTGCTTTTGCTTCCTTCACTTCTGCGGGTCTTACCCAGCTGTGAGACAGAGGATCTGGCTTCAGATCGTCCTGCCGATGGCATGAACTGTAGCGAGTCCCGTCGTTTCTCCGGGCCTCTGTTTCCTTGTCTGTAAAATGGGCATGATGGTGACTGTGAGGACTGTGTCAGGCGCACCGTGGAGCACCTGCTCCTGGAAGGTGTCCAGTCCTCGGGGGTGGGTAGTGAGTGGGAGCGCACACTTGTCCACTGTTCCAGAGACTTCTCTGGTCTGACCACAGCCAAAGGCGTTGAGGTTTCCCTCCTCACCAACTAACATTCAGAATCCTCCTCGTTGCCTCTTGCCTGGGGGACCCCAAGGCCAAGAAGGAGGAGGCAGGGCCTCGGAGGCTGTGGCTCAGGGTCAGAGGCCCTCAGCAGCCCTGACAGCGAGTCCACTGACACTTTGGACATGCTGGTCCTTTGCCTGGATCACCTTCCTCCATCCCCTGCCCCCACCTGGATTGGTTCATTCGCCCGGCTCTGTAGGCTCAGCCGCACATCTCCCCAGCGCGGGTGGCAGATGGGAGGAGAGGTGCAGCAGCAGCAACAGGTCCCAGTCCGCCGCCTCACCTTGACCTGGCGCTTCCCTCCGCCCCTGCAGGACGCGAGTATGACAAGGACGGGAACCTCCGGCCCTGGTGGAAGAACTCGTCCGTGGAGGCTTTCAAGCGGCAGACCGAGTGCATGGTGCAGCAGTACGGCAACTACAGCGTGAACGGGGAGCCGGTGAACGGCCGGCACACCCTCGGGGAGAACATCGCCGATAACGGGGGCCTCAAGGCGGCCTACCGGGTAAGAGGGCCGCTCCCCACACACAGCCCGGGCCCGCCCAGGTCTGGGCCATTGCAGACGAGCTGGGGCCAGCTGCCGCCGCTCTGTGAGCCTCTGTTCCCTCATCTGTGAAATGGGTGGGTGAGGACTCATGGAGAGGGTGTCCGTGCAGGCGCCTGGCACAGAGCTGGGCACACGTTAGGGTTTCTGCTCTTGAGTCCAGCCCGACAGAGAGAGTCAGGAAAGGGCTTGGCTGGACCCCCCGGAAGTCCTGCCTGTTCCCTCTGCAGGGGAGGCCGCCACTAAATCAGGCAGCAGCGGGCCCAGAAGGGAGGGCAGGGACCCTGGCCCTGGAGCCAGATCCGGGCCGAGTCCTCGTTCTGGAGTAAGTCGCCTGACCTCCGAGCCTTGGGGTGCTTGGCTGAGCCCTGCGTCCCTGGGGTGTGTCATGTGACACGTGCCAGCTGGGACAGGGCCTGATCCAGAGTGTCGTTCAGGAATGGTAGCTGATTGGGTGGGAGAGACAACAGGCCACGGGAGAAAAGGAGGAGGCATTTATCAGAGAGCGACCGCTCCCTCACCAGGTAGTAAGAGCAGAAATACTAAGAGGTGCCGTTTACTTAGGCCTTACCGTGTACCCCCAAACCTTTACAGGTAGGTCTCACAGCCCCCACTTGGCAGTTGAGGAAACAGCCCAGAAACATTCGGTGGCTTGTGTGACGTGCACTGGTCAGTGACTGTGTATCGCAGGCCTTCCCCCACCGTGTGCGCTGTTGTGGACACTGGGGTTTCTGTGGCAAGACACATAGGAGTCCCGCCCTCATAAAGTCACAATTTTAGTGGGACAGGGAGGGGACAGAAAGGCCATACCCACCGGAACAAATAAGATCATTTCAAGTAGAGCTCCGTGATCAAGGACAGTGGGGAGCGTGGTCAGGGGCTGACATTTGAATTGAGGCCTAAATGATGAGGAAGAGGCAGGGAAAG